TTTAAAAAATGTATATTTTTTATTAAATTATAATTGGCAGTTCAACTATACGAATATTCGCTTTAGTAAAATGTAATAATGTCAAAAGATTTCGGTTTCCGATTCGCCTTTAAATTTAAACTTTCGAGTGTCATCAATTTATATATTTATATATATGTATATCTGTATTATCTATATGTCTGTATCTGTTCACTATTTGAACAAGGTTATTCATTTTTTTGAGATATACTAATATTAATGTTCAGCACATTTGAGTCTGTCATTTTAATGAATCAATCATGCCCAGATATTCGTTCACATTCAGCACGTGTCCAACAGATATATGTGACATTTATATAGGTATATACACCATATATATATATATATATATGTATATATATATTCCTATATAACAACCTCAGGTAATTATCTTTTAGAAAATCAAATTTACATCAAGTAATATATAATTTTTCGCTATTTCGAATTTCAAAGCGTTGTTAGCCTTGATTCGATACATTAATAAAAATGTTCTTTTGAATATCAGAAAAATTCGTGAAAAATTATAAAACGCAGAGGGGGGAGAGAGAGAGAGGTAGAGCTTGTAACACCTTCTGATATGTGTGTTGGACAGTGTAAAAAATGAGCATGTCAAGTGAAAAATTAATTTATTTTGCTTTTTTTTCATTATTTTTGTTGTTGTTTTGTATTTTTGTTTTTAACAAATGAACTTTTGCGCGTGTCATAAATGTGAAAATAATTAAAAATGGATGGTGTTTTAGTATGAGTATGAAGTGTGTGTGTGTGAGCGTGTGTGTTTTTGCTGCCACATGCCACACATGTTGACCATGACAGCTGGGGTTGGGGCTGCGGCTGCGGCTAGGGCTGGGGCTGGGGCTGGGTCTGGGGAATTCAAGGAGAAGGAGAAGTCTAACTAGTTGGCAACTTTTTTCGGATACGAAATGTTAGCCAACTTTGCTGCTGTTTGGCCTAATTAAAAAAACTAACATAATTTAAGCCGCATGTCATGGCCATGCCAGAATTACACGTTGTATACCCTGTAAATTAATAAAAATATAAGTTGGCTAAAACGGAAGTTGAGTAAATGTATAGACGAACCCCAAAAATATATTTTACAAATATTTTCACTGGAGCAGCTCGTGCAAATGCTCTTTCCACTCAAAAGCTAGGGTATTCACAAGTCAACAAAAATGTTAACTGCGGCAGAAAAAATGGTATTCCCTTACAATTTGACTTCAACTTAATTAACTAACGACTGTAAATGGATTGCGCGGGGCGGAGGGAGGCCTCGCTTACTAAATCAATTACGCAATAAAAGGACTGACAAATTGCCTGAGAGGGAGAGAGGCGGTGCAGGAGACTGGATAAGCAGGAGCAGCAGCAGCAGGAGCAGGAGCAGGAGTAGCGCCAGTGGCTGGTTACACATGCACCTAAGTGAGTTGTCATACCGAAAAAAGGAAACGAAATTAAATTAAATAAAAGCAGGCGAAAGGACGAAAAATGCGTTTTTAATTTTCAACAGCTGAGCTTGTGGTTGCAGGGCGTGAGAAGGGGGAGCGAGGGCGTGGCAGGGGCAGGGGCAGGGGCAGGTGACTCCTTGTCAGTCACTTGGGCGCACAGCTTCCTTGCTGCCTGACAGAGTGCCATTCACTTTGATGTTTTACTCCATCAGCTTCTCTCTCTCTCTCTCTCTCTCTCTCTCTCTCTCTCTCGCACACGTTCTGAAATTATATTTTAAGAGCCAACTCTTACCTCATCCTTACCCCACTCTCTCTCTCAATCTCTTTCTTCCTCTCACACTCTGTCGGTGGCAACTGCATCATCTTGTTGGGTCATAAAAAGTAATGACAGCAAAATTTCACTCGCCTGGCTCACCCGCTCGATAATGACGAACGAGGAGTCGGCAATGGGAACGGATGAGCGAAAGAACGGGCGGACGGACGAACGGGCGGACGGACGGACGCAGTGCAAAAAAGTAGCTGAAGTAGTCAAGAAGTAGATGCCGCTGCGTCATACACTGCAAGAAATTGGATGATAAGAGTCGCTGAAAATAAATCTATTTATATTATAAATTTTATATAAATGAAGTAAGAAGATTGGTATTAAGCTAAAAGAGGATAGCTAATACATATACAAATAGCTACTTGAAAATTAATTGAATATTTAATTTTAACATATTATATTATATTAATATGATGAAAAAATAGTGTTATATACATATGTGTATCTAAATTGTTATATATATTGTTCATTTTCGAGAAAACAAATCAGAGTATAGCAATAAGATTATTGTAAAATATTATCTATAGGAATTATTCTCTATATTTTTAATGCATAGAAAACAAAGAAAACTTTTCATCCGCTTTTATTGGGTTTTTGATGCAGATGGTCGTTAATCTTTTATTTGTCTCCAATGACGAAGCTATATATTCGTACAAATTATCTTCCTCAAGCATTTGCTTTACATAAATGAGATCAATTTGTAGCCTACCAAAAAAATATTATTATAGCTGTGATCAATATTAACAAATAAATAATATGATTTAATTCATCAAAAATACCACAATATTCTAATCAAAATTAGCTTCGAGCAATGAAGAACACGCTTAATAATGTCTTACTCAATCTATTATGTATGCTTAATTAACTGTAAGTTAATTTGTGTTAATTAATATCTCGATTTGATCATTAAACATATTTAACACTATGCAAATTCATTTCTAGACGTGCAAATAAATGAAAATCTTTAGAGCTGAGAATTGTTAAACCTATCATTTGTGCAATTGAAATATTTCTAAAAAATTAAATAATAGCTCTATAAATCTTCTAAAATTAGTAACGAAAATTAAATTAAATTCTACCGCCATCGAATTAGTTTTAGAAATTTCAATAAAATAT